AACTCCACATAAACAGACAGGAAAGCACGTAACGGAGTAACTCCGACAGTTGGCAAGTTTGCCATAAAGGGGTTGTAAGATTTAGGTCGGCATATCTTTTCTTACTTTTTATATCTTACATTTCTTACTTTTATATATATATATATATATATATATATATATATATATATATATATATATATTTATATATATATATACATATATATGTATATATATATATATATATATATATATATATACATTGTAAAATAAGAGATTTATTCTTAATCAGATTATCATTTATATAGTCTTACCTCTAGTGCTGAAAATAGAAGATAGATCTAATATACATAATATGGACGTCAAGAAGGGGACAAATTTACGATTGTAAGAAGAGTGAAAATACTTACATCCTATAAGAGTTAATACTTCTTGGTCTAAGTCAGAATACCATTCGGGAACGAAGGAATTATTGTACCGCCTATATGAGTACACGACATCAGTGAGAGTATGTACGTCCTTTGGTGTTATACCTTCATTCCAACCAGTAAGTCTACCAATAACATCGAATGTTTTAGAATACTGTTGTTTTAAAGAAGAGTATAACTCCTTTTGGATCTAAAATATGTTTTTAATTAACAAAAAAGTTTTCTGAAAATGACCACAAAAAATATGTATTTATTTGTATTATATTTAATTTTATTTGTTATATTTTAGCTGCCTAAAATATTGTAGACTTAGAACACAATTGCACAAAAGGACTCATCAAAAACAAGTCCAATTATTAGCAACTTTTGCAAGAGTAAAGTCCAAGAGGACTTCTTCTTTTAAAGAACACCTAACAACAACGGATATCCCTAACATTCAAAAGAATATGATCAACAAGACTTAGTCTTTTATGCAACCTGTAGGATAAAATGATTATTTTGTGATGCAAAATGATTTTTAAGAGTTTTTGAGAATTTATGTTGCTTGGCGAAGGCAGAGACATATTACAAGGGTAATACATTTCAATGTATGGCTTATTAAATAGATGTTAACAGCCTCGTATATTCTGCGGTTTTAAAATTTTAAAGACAACTGGGTGGAGAACTACATAACTGCTTTTACTCAATTGATTCGTTGCTACGAAAAACGTTGGTGGCTTTATTTTAAGTCCATTAAGACTAGTTGCTGACTTTGATATTTAGCCACATAGATATATATATATATATATATATATATATATATATATATATATATATATATATATATACATATATATATATATATATATATACATATATATATATATATATTATATATATATATATATAGATATATATATATATATATATATATATAGATATATATATATATATATATATATATATATATATATATATCTATATATATATATATATATATATATATCTATATATATATATATATATATATATATATATATATATATATATATATATATATATATATATATATATATATATATATATATATAGCAAACTCTTATCTGCCAATATTTAAGAGTTTACTATTTAACTTATCTGCAAAGAATAAATTTCTTTATAATAAGTATATATACGTATATATACATACGTATACGTATACATATAACTTATATATGTATACGTATATATATGTACGTACATATATATATACGTATATAAGTTATATATATTTCTTTTGATTTTACCTAAAGTTTTTTTAATAGTTTCTTAGAAGTTTTCATAATTTTGTATAATTTTTTATATTTTTTTTATATTTTTATATTTAATTTTTTTTTTTAATTTTTTATTTTTTTAATAATTTTCTATTTTTTATAATTTTTTATAATTTATTATTTAATTTTCTTTAATTTTTTTATAATTTTTTGTAATCTTTAATAATTTTTAATAACTTTTTATAATTTTTGATAATTTTTAAAATTTTATTAAATATAAGCAACTATACTTGTTCATTGGCGGATTAATGCCTCTATGAAAGGTTGTCACTCTATCTTTTGCGCGGTAGTCCGATACTTGTTTTGCCGATTGGTGACTTATCTTTTGCTATTTTGACGACACGGGTCTCCTCCATTAATTTATATACTGTACGTTACATTGTCTTCTAATACCTTCACTTCTCTTTCGATGTCTCAGCGTATTTCCTGTACTTCTTCTCAGTACTCTCATCTCTGCTGCTTCCCTAGTAGCCTTTGTGATGTTGCCGTGTTGGGTCTTGTTTCTGAGGTATATGTCATTATTGGTCTTACATTGACTTTATAAAGTCTTGACTTCATCTCATTGTTAATCTGTCTGTTTCGCCATATACATAGTAATAATAAGGCATCCTGCCAGTCTATTTGCTTTTTGTACTTGATGTCTCACTTCTTTGTCCAGGTCTCCATAGCTAGACAGTGTAATTCCCAGTTATTTTATTTCCATTACTTGTTCAATACTGATGGAATCAATTTCTATTTTACATCTGGTTTTTTGCTGACTACTATTATTTTAGCTTTCTGAGGTTAAAGAAATTAATTTTTTTTCATAGAGTTAACAACAATAATTAATAAATTTATAAAACACAATTAAATACCGAAAGAATGGAGAACAAGCGAACTAATTCTAGTATTTAAAAAAGGAAAAAAACAGCCAGATAACTACAGAGGTATAACCTTGTTAAATACTACGCAACAGAACCTGAGAGAGCTACTGGAAATAATATTGAATGATATTTAATGCAAAAGTATAATTTCTGCTAATATCGTAATAATGCCATATCGTAAAAAGTTATTACACTATCCACAAAACACACGAATATTTTACGTTATTAAATCAATAGTATACAGAAAAATTATATGATTTACTAATAATATATAGAAAAACAAACAAAGCCGTTAAACAAGAGAACTCTTTTATCAAACATGGGGGACAACTGTAAGGCAAAAATACCAATCACCGATAGACATAATTAGAAGAATTATAAACTGGACCCTAATGAATGAAATATGCAAGAGGCGAGTAGATGGAGCGACCACGTAAAACAAAAGATTGAATTACTGTGAAATCGGATTGGAAAATAAAATACAGACATTAAAAAATGTTGCATGAAATTATTGCAGCTAGAATTGCAGGGTTTTAAAAATTGTTTGTCCTTTATAGATATTAAAAGTAAAGTTAACTTTATTTTATTTTGGTGATCGTTAAAAAATATTTTACTTTTAAATTTCTTTAAAATAAAAATAAATAAAAAGTAAAAATTTGTTACCTTATCTCTCAATTTCTCATATCTCTTGCATTTTCGCTTATCCACAATTATGTCATCTTTGCTTCGCTCTGTTGTGTGGACAGGAATAGGTTGCCATGGAATCTGGTTATTCCAGGATTGGAAACTTTTGGGGGGAAACATTCCGGCCAGATTCGCACTTGCTGACATTAAAGTGCGATCGACGTCTGTGGAATATACATGGACATCATTTCTTGAGTAGATATCCTTGAGGAAATTGTGATAACGTTGACGAAACCACTGGCCAAGTTTGTATTGTCGATTAATTCCAAACTGTTAAATCGAAGTAAATCATTAACAAAAGGTCTGTGAAATGTACAGGATGGAAACGATTTTATGTGGAAATTATTTCTGTTCTTGTTTTTAAAAATTATGGAAAACACGAAGACTTGTCGACTTTTATATATAAATAAGCGCTTTTTAAAAATAAATTTAAATGAACAGTGTGATTCACGCAAGCCTAGCGTAGTTAGCATAGTATTTGGAAAAGTATTTAGTGCTCACTTAAATATTTAATTTTTGATTATTTTTATTATTTATACCATAGACATTCTTTAGTAATTTATTTAATTACTTATTTCATTGTTTGTGTTCTTTAAATGTCTCACGTTAAAATTAGCGAGCCATTCACATATTATTAAAGTGGCAAGCTCAATGCCACTTATGTGGACGATATACTTAATTATCAAATACATGTATGGAGAAATTATTAATTTACCCCAAAATGTTAATAAAAATTTACCCTAAAACAGGTTAATACCCTTTTTAAAGATTAACTTAAAAATGTCCTAATTTATTACACCTTTTAAAAACGGTATGATTCGAATGCCAAAAGGATTCCCATGGCTCTTCCTAAGATCAATCTACGTAAATAGTGTCTCACCCTCAGCGAAAGGGTGAGACACTATTTACGTAGATTTAACTTGAAGCCACGACGCACACATCTCCTGCTTAGAACAACCAGAAATCTTTGCCGTCTACGTCTTTCAGATCCTACTTCTCTACTTCATACGAAGACCAAGACGCCTCTTCTTCTTTTTGAGATGCTACTGCTCCCAATATTTACAGCCAGATGTAAAGGTTTAATTTTTGTACTAATAATAATTTTGCGGGTGTTGCTTACTGATTGCTTTTGTATTTACAACCATATACCTTACATTTTTTTACGTGTTTAATTAATTAACCAGGTAATCTTAAAATTTCTAGATAAATACGGTTCTATACTACTTTTTTATATAGACGTTTGTTATCTAAGTGCTTTGATAGACCATGATAACACTTTTTTATTACCATTGATGTGTTATTATTGGAGTTTGCCGTTCTAGATATATGAACTCTTTGAATGCTGCGCATTTTTGGTTATTGACAATTAGATCTGCGTCAATATTTCTAGTTTTTGTGTTTTTTTAATTGGCATGAATTTGGTATTGATTTGATTTATGCGTAGTCCTATTCGTTCTATTGCTAATACTAGCTTGATAAGGATTTTTGTGGTTCTTGCCTGGTTCCTGTTGTAATGTCCACGTCGACAGTTTGTTATGCTAGACTTTGAACTGATCTATTAAATATAGTTCCCCTGCTATCATAATTAGCGTCTCGCACGACTTTTTCTAATGCTCTGTTTAAAAGTTAACACTCCATCGCATCTTCCTGCCTTTGTCGCTTTGAATTTTTACTACTGATAATACCTTGGCTATTGTTGCAATTATCATGCATGAGTTTTTTTGAGTTCCTACTAATTCATAGCGTTGTTAAGACTGTATAAATAATATATAGTTAGTTATATAGGGTATATGAACTAAAAGGGCTAATAAACACCTTGATGAATTAGAACAAGAACTTTCTTAATATTAAGTGTGGTATATTGGGCTCTGCGCAATGCGCCTTTCAGGAGAAAAAACATACAGCTGGCCATGAGCTATTCTATCATAAGCGGACGAGCCTATTATTCCTAATAAATACAATTTCTTTAAATAAAGGTACAACCTACAGAGTATTAGATATGTTTATGCTATGTTTATGATAGTGCAAGAAGTACATAACCTTTACGTTATGCAGTTAAAATGTTAGTTAACTAGTTTTATCCCGGAAGCGATCATAGATTAAGATTTTTAGTTAATTCACCTTGCTGATAAATCATTAATTCTAGCATAATGCCAAGTCATAAAAAAGTTATATTTAACATGTAGTTGAAGTAAACAATTACTTTTGGGGTGAGGCTTTGGTATTCCAAACTCGAAACCAGTTGTACTTCGTGCATTCAAGTACTTATATATTTCTGCATGAATCTGGCTGGATAGAAATATTTGGCACAGTCCGTTGATAAAATTATCTACTTTATAATCAGTACAATGTTCTTCTTCTTAGAGTGCCGTCTCCCTACGGAGGTTGGCAATCATAATGGCTATTTTTATTTTAGAACTTGCTGCTCTAAACAAATCAATCGATCTGCATTGGTACCAATCACGTAGATTCTTTAACCATGAGTTCTGCCTTCGGCCAACAGATCTTCTTCCTTGAATTTTTCCCTGTATTATCAGTCTCAAAATTTCATATTTTGGTCCCCTCATCACGTGGCCTAGGTATTTGGTTTGTATAGTGGTGATTAGTTATGTTTCTTTACCAACCCTCTCCAGTACTTCTTTATTTGTAATTCCCAGTCCAAGATATTTTCAATAATCTGCGGTATAACCAGAGTTCGAAGGCCTCGATTCTTTTTAAATTACATTTTTTTAATGTCCAAGTCTCAGCTCCATATAATAATATTGAAAATATATAACAGCGAATGGTACGTAGTCTGATCTCCAAATTTAGATTTTTGCACGTTAGGAGTGGCTTCATTCGTATAAATGCTGATAAATGCTGGCAATCTCTATTCGCCTGTTTATTTCTACAGTACGATCATTAGTTTCATTGATCAAAGTTCCCAAATACTGATATTTTTCTACTTGTTCTATCACGTTATCATTTATTGTCAATAGGCGTTGTATATTTTGTGGCCTTTTTGTAATCAGCATGTACTTCGTTTTTTTAGCGTTTACAGTAATTCCCATCTCAGCACTATTTATACTCAAGCTTAAGCCTCTGCGATAAGATGTTGTAGATCCTCTATACTCGTTGCTATGATCACAGTGTCGTCTGCATATCTTAAATTATTAATTAATTTTCCGTTAACGGTAACTCCCGCTTCGATATTATTGAGCGTGTTTTGGAAAATTTCTTCAGAGTATAAGTTAAACAAAAGTGGTGATAATACACATCCCTGTCTAACTCCTCTACAGATCCTCATTTCTTTTGAGTGTTGCCCATCAATTTGAACTATGGCACTTTGGTTCCAATATAGTGTTTGTACTATATTTATGATTTTACTGTCAATGCGCTTGTTCATAAGTATTGATATTAGTTTTTCATGTCTTACTTTATCGAAAGCTTTTTCGTAGTCAACGAAGCACAAGTGTAGATCAACATTTACATCCCGACATCGCTGAATTAATATGTTGATGGCAAATAGTCTTTCTCGAGTACCCATTCCATTTCGGAACCCGAACTGCGTCTCGCTAATATCCTCCTCTAGCCTTTCGTATATTCTCTTATGTATTATTTTTAGTAGAACTTTTAAAGTATGACTTATGAGGCTTAGTGTTCGATAATCAGAGCACTCTTTTGCTGCTTGTTTTTTAGGGATTGTTATAAATGCTGACTTTAGCCACTCCTGTGGTATTAGTACAATGTTAGTCAGCTGTAAATACGAGATTAGATACTTGTTAAAGTCACTGTGCATATATTTCTTAGAACTCACCCACTCGCCATTTAATTTAAAAATTGGATATCTAAGTACTTAATTTATATAGATATCCTGATAAGAGCAAAACAACAAATAGTTTTAGATCTTAAAGTCAATTTTATAAAAGTAAAGTTTTACATTTAATGTAATAGATAAAATACTTTGTAATATCTGGAAATATCTGTGAAAAAAAAAACAATGGAAATCTGATGAGAGTGACAAACATATTCTATTCGTAACTTCGACTGTTATTTAGTAGTAATTTATTAATAATTTATGACAGAATCAGACAACGAGAAATATAATAGAATCAAATAGAAATACTAAAAATGGAAAAGCAGCCAGATTAGACGAGATACACATTGAACCACTAAAACTATAAGTAGAAGAAAAGACCAAAAATTTTTAAAGTTACTTCGCGAAATATATGAAACGGTTAATATCCCAAATGGTTGACTTACGTCTATATTTTTTGTCGTTGCAGTATATTCAGATTAATCAGCTTAAAGAGACAGGTATGCTGGTTAAATTCTTAAGAACTAACGGAGAAATATATTTTCTAAATAATCTATTCTATTGTCTTATTCACTGTACAAGTCTATTTGGAAAACCCGCTCACGTTGTTCATGGTTTCACTAAGTTCACTGACGTCACTGGAATATATTTTATAAAGAAAATAATTTATGCATATTCTCAATCTTTTTTGAACCACCTCGATCTCTTCTTCGTATTGTCTGGGAGCGGTGTATTCCCACGGTCTTGTAGGCATTGTTTCTTTCATTATATATAAAGGCATCTCTTTGGTAACCGTATTTGGTGCAGAGTTCAAATACGGCTCGATCTCAAATACTTTTCTGTGCCAATGTCGATGATTTTCTTTTGTAGCAATTCGTAGAAATTTTGTGATTTCTTGTATAAAACGCTCCGATGGGTTGCTCTGTGGATAGCGGATGCTTATAAATTTTGTATTAATGACTCTCTCTCTTAACCCCCCCTTAAAGCGTTCGTTCCTAAAGTATGTCGCATTGTCCAATAAAATATTGTCTGGTCTTCCCACTGTTTCTATGAAATCGTCTATCTTCCGAAGTATTTCAATTCCTTTCGAAGTTCGACATGCATAGAATTTTACATATTTTGAGAAAAGAACCACCATAACTAGTATGTGTTTGTTCCTCTATGTTGTTGTTATCAAGTCGCTTAACATATCAATGGCGACAATATCCAGTTTCTTCCGAACTACGATGGTTTTTGTGACGTTTTCATTTTTGAAGTTCCTACTTTTACACTTCTGGCATGTCACAGAATTTCAAGTCACTTCTTTGGCTATTGTATAATCCTGTCGACAAATGTAGTTCTCCCTGAACATAAGCCACACTTTCCTGCTTCCAATATGTCCGTTGTCACAGTGTAACTTAAAAAAAAACTTCTTTTGTTATCTGCTCCGTGATTACAGATAGTTCTATTATTTACCAACCTATTTTTCATTATG